CGGGGGGGGGCAGGGGGCCCCAGCCGCTGGGGAGGTGCCCAGCTCAGCCAGCAGCAGCCCAGAAGGAAGGGGCTGTAGCCTGGCATCGCCGCCCTTCCCTCTGCCCCGCCGCTGGTGGCCCCTCTCCTTTCCCAGCTGGTGGCCGGAGCGTGCGGGAGCCCAGCTGTGAAGCCAGGGCCTGTCAGCCGACGGTGCCAGGCCCCCAGAGGGAGCGAACAGACCCGGGAGCCAGCGAGAGGTCCCTCCCCTTCACTCAGCCACAGCTTCTGAAAGTGTCCGGACCCCGAAAGCTTGTCCCTCTCCCCAACAGCAGTTGGTCCAGTGAAAGATCTGAGCTCACGCCCCGGTCTCCGTAACGTCCTGCGGCTACAGCCCCGCTGCACACCGCTAGGGTAAGTAGTGCGGAGCCGTTCCACGCTCGCTTTTCAAGGGGACTGTATCTTAGGACCAACTAGCTCGTGTGGCCCCGAGGTTGGCCCAGACCCCCAAGAATCGCAGGTTTTCAAGACAAGGGGGGTTTCCCTGTGGATTTTAAAGCCTTCATAAAAAATCCCTGGTTAAACGGTGAGAGCGTCTCTTCGCCGGCCTTGCCGCGGTGCAGCCCAGCAGTGATGACTCTTGCTGTGGCGAGGGCCTGTCCGGGTGCCACGAACGAGTCCTGCGGCTGCACTTCTCTAGCACGGAGATAAACGTGGCTCAGCGAGAGATAAGGGTGGATCTGACCCAGCCGCGCGGACGCGGAGGCCACAACAGCAGGCCAGGATTCGCGCAGCCCAAATAAAATGTTTCTGGCGCCTTATCAAGGCGAGGACGCGTGCGGCTGATTCTGTGGCTGCGGGAGCCTGGGAAGCGCAGGCGGGCCGTCGTGTCCGTACACGAGCCTGCAATGTCTCTGCACGCAGAGGCCGTCTCTCCCCTGCACACTCTGGCCGGCCCAGCGCCGTCTGCCCTCGCCAGCGGAGTCTGTGTGAGGCCCAGGCGCGGGCTCGGCTCAGGGCTTGGATCGCTGAGCAAAGCACAATGCTTGTCCCCCCCGTGTCCCAGGTTCCTCCCCCCCCCCGGAGCACGGCGCTGGGGGCAATACTGCAATGTGTTGCAGGGTAGAAATGACCTGCCCAGGGACCTAAGCATCATGTTCCCAGCATGCAACGGTCTCCCTCCCGTCATCTCCCACAAATCCCTGTGGCACTGTCGACCGTCCGTCTTCCCTGGCGGAACATCGGAGCGGCCAGACGGGGTCAGACCAACGGTCCATCCGGCCCAGTGTCCTGTCAGCCCACAGCGGCCAGCGCCAGGTGCCCCAGAGGGAGGGATCACAACAGGGAATCCTCACGTGATCCCTCCCCGTCACCCACCTCCAGAGAAACAGAGACTAGGGACACCCTCCTTACCCATCCTGGCTAATACTCATTGATGGACCAAACCTCCATGAATCCATCTAGAAAGAGAACCCTGTTAAAGTTCTAGTCTTCAGCACATCCTGTGGCAAGGAGTTCCACAGGTTGACTGTGCGCTGAGTGAAGAAAAGCTTCCTTTGGTTTGTTTTAAACCTGCTGCCTGTTCATTTCATTTGGTGCCCCCTAGTTCTTATATTGTGGGAATAAGTAAAGAACTTTTCCTCATTCACTTTTTCCACACCAGTCATGATTTCATAGACCTCTATCCTATCCCCCCTTAGTCTCCTCTAAGGAACGGTAGGAGGGAGAACAGCAAAATAAAGACAATGGATTTCAGGAAGGCAGACTTTAACCAAGTCAGGGAGTTAGTAAATAAGATCCCATGGGAAACAAATCTAAGAGGGAAACCGATTGACCACACGTGGCAGTTTCTCAACAAAAAAAATAGTGGAGAAAATACTTAAGGAACCTGCAGAGGGCAGCCCGTAGGGCACAGCTGTCATGGTGGTGCTCTTCCAATGCTTTTTGCGCAAGCGGTTTTTGTGCAAAAACAAGCAGTGGAGACCTCGTGAGGTTTCCAGGATCTTGCGCAAAAGGGGTTCCACCCCGGCCCGGCCCCGCCCCTCCCTCACCTGCGTAGTTGCGTACTGCCTGGCTTTTAGACATGCTTACGCAGAGTGAGCGTGTCTCCCAGCCAGGCAGTGCGCGGCTACGCCCTGATACTCCCGATAATCACAAAACGTCTTTAATTAGAAAACTCCCGACATTTCTACGTCCGGTATTTTCTCCATTCGTTTCCTGGACAGAAAGCTCAAATACCGGACTGTCTGGTTCAAAACCGGACACCTGGCGATCATTTAGGGGCTCTGGATCCCCCCTGTTGGTCCCTGCCCCAAGGGGGCTCTCCTGTAAAGGAGACAGTCCCCCGGAGCCGGGGAAGCCCTGGGCGGGGTCGTGTGGCCGTAGCGTCCGAGGGCCGGGCAGACAGTGTGTAACCCACGCACCTCGTGCGGGTCCCTGCCCCAGGCAGTGGCACTTAGACCCCGTCCAGCGAGCTAAGACCCAGGGAGCTCTCCAGCACAAGCTGAGCACCAGCTGGCGTCACTGAGTTCCCGAGGTTCTGGGTTCGAATCTGCCTGGTGGCTGTTACATGTGCTCTCGGCTCCTGTTCCCCATGGGTGGGGTTCTGTGCAGGGGGGCCCACATAAAACAGAGTGACATCAGCCCTTTGCTGTGAAGCTTTAATGTCATTTCAACCCCGGGCCTCCCGGCACCAGGGACAGCCCGTTCTGCAAGCAGCTGGGACCCCCAGTCCATGCTATTACTGGGAAGGAGGTGCGGGGGGAGGGGTTATGCGGCTGCAGGACTCAGAGAAGGGGCTTGGTTTCAGGCCGGCCCTCCGGCAGGGTGAGCCGTGTGCGTCTGTGCCCGCTGGGGGGGTTAGGATCCAGAGTTTCTTTAGCTGGCCTCAGGGGCATGGGGAGAGGGGGAGGCACCAGACCCCAGCTTGGGGGGCAGAAGTTACTGGGAAGGAGGTGCGGGGGGAGGGGTTATGCGGCTGCAGGACTCAGAGAAGGGGCTTGGTTTCAGGCCGGCCCTCCGGCAGGGTGAGCCGTGTGCGTCTGTGCCCGCTGGGGGGGTTAGGATCCAGAGTTTCTTTAGCTGGCCTCAGGGGCATGGGGAGAGGGGGAGGCACCAGACCCCAGCTTGGGGGGCAGAAGTTA